TGCGCACAAACAGATAGTTGGACATTCCATGAGGGGTCTCAGATTGGAGAGGGTGAAGGCCAGAATGAGGGGCCCCTTTCCTCCCTCTCCTACCCCAGTGCACGAATTTCATGCACCGGGCTACTAGTACATAAATAAAAACAATTATTTCATTAGAATCTCTAGAATTCCCTAAAATAAACTATGAGTAATTTTTATAAAGTAAAATACCACCAACATTTTCTCATGCACAGAAACCCCAAATCAGGGATTCCTTTTGGCATTGAATTGGTGCCAAAAGAGATAGAAACACCAATGATGAAAAAGAATCATTGATCAGCTGCTTCCTGGGGATGAGCCTGCAACCTGGGCATGTGCCCTGACTGGGAATGGAAACCGTGAACTCCTGGTTACTTGGTCCATGCTTAACCACTGAGCTACACCAGCCTGGCCATCATTCTTCTCCTTTGAGGTTATGCCTATGTGACCAACCTAAGAAATAACTGAAGATCATATAAACCCTCCTACATTGTTTAGAGCAGAGTTTTCCCATCAACCATGATGAAACTCTGGCTCTGTAAACAGAGAGTGAAAGCAAGAGTTCTTATTATCTTATGCAGCAGATGGAGATAAGAGCACATAAAGCCACTTCTTTGCAAGATGAAGCTTGTTCTTCCTAGCAGTGCAGTCCCACACTCAGAACTAGAGAATAACAATAGCAGAGATGATAGGATTTGGAATACTCCCAATACCCTTCCCAATAGCCCCAATTAAGAAAACTTTATTACTCTGCCTCTCAAATGCTTCCTGTCAAAGCCTTCAAAATTTGTGTGTGTCAGAAATATCCATTAGTTATGGAGACATAGTTTTTAACAATTCAATCAGCTCAGGGAGCTTTAGAACTTACCAATGGCATCTAAAACAAACAAACAAACAAACAAACAAAAAAACAGAACATAAAGAAATAGAATAGAATGATGGTTACCAGGGGTGAGGATTTGGGGAATCAGGGAGATGTTGTTTAAGGGTGCAAACTTGTAATAGTAGATAAATAAGTTCTGGAGATCTAAATGTACAGCACAGCTATTATAGTCAAAACTGTGCTATAAACTTCAAAGTTCCTATGAGACTGTATCTTAGTCACTCTCACCACAAAAAGGAAATGACAATTGTGAGATGGGGTAAAGGTGTTAGCTAATGCTATGGTGGTAGTCATATTGCAATATATAAATGCATCAAATCAACATATGTCTTAAATTTATATCAATATGTTAATCATAGTTCAAATTTTGTAAAAGAACATCACTATAATGAGGGATGCGAAGTTAAAATGAAAACAATGAAGTCTGTAAACGAGTTAACAGTTTTAAAAGATGTATATTCATAAGTGGAATACTATTCACCCATAAAAAGGAGTGAAGTACTGATACCTGCTACAACATGGGTGAACCTTGAAAGTGTCTTTGCTAAGTGAAAGAAGCAGGTCACAAAAACCACATACTGTATGATTCCCCTGATATGAAATGTCCAGAATTGGAAGATCAACAGAAAAGGTCAGTGATTGCAGGGATGGAGGGAGGGGGAAATTGGGAGACACAGGTTTCTTTTTAGGGTGAGGAAAATATTCTGGAATCAGATAGTGATGATGGTTGTACAACACTGTGAATATACTAAAAACCACTGACTTATACACTTTTAAATAGTAAGTGTTATGTTATATGACTTTATTCTCAATTAAAAATTGATACAAAAAAAATAAGTAAATAAATAAATAATGTCAATGGCATTCCCCACTCCAAAGCTGCTCTAAAATATTCTCTGGTTGATTCAAATGTGTGGTCTCGAGAGCCTGATACAGAGACATATCAGAATTGCAAGGTGAATGTTCTGTTGAGGCAGAGGAGTCCCTGCCCTCTGGAGGGGGGATCAAAGATGAACCCATGAGCTCTAGACCCAAACCTACTGAGGATTTAATGTACATTCAAATCAATCTGTTCCAAACTAAACTTATTCACAATCACCACATTTTACTCTCATGTTTAAAATTGCTCTCTTCCCTTAAGCCATACCTCAAGAAATATTCTCTCCATTCATCTGGTCAATTAAATGCTGAACTCTGGGAGACACCCTGAAAGTCTTTATTCCCCTCAACTCCCTCATTCCATACATTCTACTTATCAATTCCACATCCTAAATAGATCTCAAAAATCTTTCTAATTAAGCATTGACTGCTCTACCACGACTTTAAGTTTTCATTGTACTTGTCTCTGATTATTGATTTACATATGTATATGTGTATGTTTTTATCTCACATATCTCCATATGTACTGTTTAGTCCACATGTCTGCGTATACATAAACATAGTCAAATGTGTACTATAGACATATATATACACACTATATATACATACTATAGGCTCAGTGCATGAAAATTCATGCACTCGGGAGGCCCCTAGACCAACCTGCATCCTCTCACAGTCTGGGACCCCTCGGGGGATGTCTGACTGCCGGCCTAGGCCCGATCCCCACAGTCATCACCCGAGGGATGTAGCAGTGTGCCAAGTGGCAGGCGACCAGGGGGGAGCCCAAATTGGGCTCATCCAGGCCCACTCCACCTGCTGCCGCGGAAAGGCTCCCACCACGGCAGCTTCGCTCACCAGCGATGAGCCCAGCTTTTGGCTGAGCAGCGCTCCCACTGTGTGAGTGCACTGACCAGTCATTCTGCTGTTTGGTTGATTTGCGTATTAACCTTTTATTATATAGGGTGTCATTTACACATATACAGTGGTGGGCAAAAGTAGGTTTATGGTTGTGATACAAATAAATAATACAATAATTAGTAAATAATAATACAAGAATAAGCTGTTTTGTGTACTCACAACTGTAAACCTACTTTGCCTGCCCCTGTATATTGTACATATATACACCATTAGGATATGTATGCATGTGCAAAAATATATATGACATATATTTATATTTATGCAAGCATATATGCAAAAAGTATAATTCTTTATAAATATATACATATATGTACACATATGTTTATGCTCACATATGTAGCTATACATTTAATACTCAAATATATATTACCTGCCAAAACTGGTTTGGCTCAGTGGATAGAATATATATTTATACTTAAGTATATACTACACATATTTACACATATTTACACATATTTTACATATATTACACATATTTCTTAACATTCAAATCACAATTTTGCCTTTGTTTCTCTGTACAGCTCATTCAGCTCATTCTCTGATCACATCTCCCATTGCAGCCACAGTAAACTACTTGAAGTTTTCTGAATTGAACATTTTCTCTCAAATGCCTTGCAAGGCTATCTCTCCCTCAGCCTAGAAAACCTATTCTGCTCCTCTGCTCCTCTTTTTAAATGACTAACTGTTCATGTTATGTCAAGACTCCTCTTAATCATCATCACCTTCCTTTGAATATCTGATCAGAGTTTAGTGTCTTTTATTAGTTCTTTTCCTTTCTTTTCTAATTACAGTACAGCATTTAAAATAAATTCTTTTTTAAAAAATACGTTTTATAGACTTTCTACAGAGAGAAAGGGAGAGGGATAGAGAGTTAGAAGCATCGATGAGAGAGAAACACTGATCAGCCGCCTCCTACACACCCCGCACTGGGGATGTGCCCGTAACCAAGGTACATGACCTTGACTGGAATCAAACCCGGGACCCTTGAGTTCACAGGCCGATGCTCTATCCACTGTGCCAAACCAGTTCTGGCATCAAAATAAATTCTTGATCACACCCATTTTATTCATCACAAATTATATAGAACACATAAATCAGATTGGGTGTTGCTTCCTTTCAGAGCAAGGCAAGTCTTGTTAGTACTTGTGATGTTGGTACAGCGATGCCAGCAGCAATCACTAAAGCTGAACAAAGACTCCTACCTGCAGACTGGAACAGCCAGTCTCCCTGGAATTTCCCTTGGAAAGGAACATAAGGACAGCACTGCAGCATCAGGTGCCCAGAGGTGGAGGGCAGCAGTGAGGAGCTTTGTTAAGTACTCTGCCTGGTTCTGGCACTGTCGTTCTCTAGGGACAATGGAGAGCTGCGTCAGGATCACAGGTAAGTGTAAGATTTAGGATCGAGTTCTCTATTCATAGATGGTCAGCACTTCTTCCATCCCTTCCTCTTCCTTGTGACTTCTGGGAGACCACCTGTCCCTACATTTCAAGGGACTTGACAGATACATATACAGACTAGTGAGATAATATGAACAGAGCTTCCAGTCCCCTCTAGAGAAAGTCTTTTCTCATTGTTTCTTTGTGAATCATTTGAACCTCACTCTGCATGTCACAGAAAATGTTGGGCTGGATTTCTGGAGTCTGCTTTGTTCAGGCATAAAGAAAATGTTATTCTTATGCATGTTATTCCCCAGTCACCAAGTCATACAACCAGTCATCATCCATGTTTCTCTCTCTCTAACGTCTTCCTTCTTTCCTCCCTCTAAAAATCAATAAAATTTTAAAAAGAGTTGGAGTTTCCAGATCTAGCAAATAAGTATTGAAGGATGCCAAATATTGGGTGGGAAATACGTATACCAGAAAGTTATTCACTATGTGGACAAGAAAAGGGAGGTTCTGTTGAAAGTAACCTCACACAAGGTGTCTGATCATAAACTCCTAATTAGGCAAGTATTGGTGGGTCATCATGTCCCAGACATATAACTTTCTAGTACAAGGTTTATCTTTGCCCTAAGGAAGCTCTGTACATTGTTTCTGTGTATCTAGGTTAACACGCCTTTGAAATAAGCTTCGAACATCAAGAGAGCCCATAATCTAGTTAGCCATCCTATAAACCAATCCCCACCTTGATTTTGCCCACCTTCATGTAATCTTCCTTATGTCCCCTCCTTAATTCCAAATGCATAAAAAAGCTGCAAAACTCTTATTATCCAGATCATTTGAGCATATGACCCAGACATATGTCTTAGTTTGGCTCATAAACTCATAAAAATTCTCTACAGGTTTGGGCATTCTTACATCCACAACTTTATTTGATATTCAAATAACGGGAACTCATAGAGCACTCTTACAACATCTTCTGGCAACACTACTTGAAAGTTTATTAATGCATAAAATGCATGCTAAAATATGTGATTTCTGGAAATTCTTTCTCCTATTATCACTGTTTCTGAACCTTCCTCGCTTGTTATCACAGGTGTAATGGGAACTACAGGACCATCTCTCACCAGGTACTTTGTTCCCATGCTCCTCCTTCAGATGGCAGCACCAAGTTCAGGTACGACCCTCTCTTCTACCTGTGTGAGTCCTGGCAGTATCAAGTATGCCAGAAAAAGCAAGGACCAAAGAAAAGGGTTAAGCTCTTTTGACCGTTGTTCCTCGGGTTTAATACATAATTATGTAATGAGGACGTGTACTATAGGATCCAGCTTATGGCTGGGGAAAATTATTTCTAGTCAGCAAGTCTTCTTTATCATGTACCTGGATTTGTGTTAAATTCCTGGGAGAAGAAGCAAATGAAGAAGACCTAATACTTGCCCTTGAGAACCCAATATTCATATTGAGGAGACTCAGTGTATGTGTCACTCACACAGTGAGGAAGTGGCCTAGGATATGTGTCCATGTTAGAATCCATGTGTGTTATCAGTGCAGTGGGTCAGCCAGCCCTGGCAAACACTTTTGTCTACTGTCTGCATATTTTCACATTTTTCAGAATGTCACGTAGTTGGAATCAAAACGTAAGTCTTTTCAGAGGGGCCTCTTTTACTTAGCAATGTGCCTTTAAGGTGCTCCAATTTCTTTTCTTTTTTAATTTTTAAAACATTCATTTATTTTCCAATTACAGTTGACATACAATATTATAGTAGCTTCTGGTGTGATCAGACATTTATATACCTTTTGAAATGACCATCCCAATAAGTCTAGTATTCATCTTGCACATAGTTATTATAATATTCTTGACTATATTTCCTATGCTGTACTTGACATTCCTGTGACTATTTTTATAACTGGCAATTTATAAATATTCGCTTTCTGCTTGACAGTTTGTTCTCTGTATCTATTAGTTTGTTTCTGTTTGTTTGTTTGCTTGTTCGTTTATTTGATTCCACAGAGGGTGAAATCATTTCTGTCTTTGGCTTATTTCACTTATCATAATACCCTCTAGATTCATCCATTTTGTCACAAAGTATAAGAGTTTATTCTTTCTTATGGCTATATATGCATGTATTACCTCTTTTTATCCCTTTGTCTATCAATGGACACTTAGGTGACTGCCATATCTTAGCTATTGTAAATAATGCTGCAATATACATGTGGATGCATATATAGGGTGGAGCAAAGTAGGTTTATAGTTGTTCATATGGAAATTAATATAATAATAAATAATAATACAAGGATAAACTCTGTGCTTCATGTACTCACAACTGTCAACCTACTTTTGCCCCACCTTGAATTTTTTAAAATTAGTGTTTTGTATTTCTTCAGATAAAGACCTAGAAGTGGAATTTTCTGGGTTATATGGTAGCTCCATTTGTAACTTTTTGAGTAAACTGCACATTGTTTTCCATAGTGCCTACACCAAATTACAATCCCACCAAGAGTGCACAAGGGTTCACTTTTCTCTACATCCTCAATAATATTTATTTTTTATTTATTAATGATAGATATTCTGAAAGGTGTGAAGTTTGATATATCATTGTAATTTGGATTTTGATTTCCCTGATGATTAGTGTTTTTGAGCATTTTTTCATATGTCTATTGGCCAGCTGTATGTCCTCTTTGGAGAAATGTCTGCTCAGGTCTTCTGCCCATTTGTAGGGGATGTTTAGAATCCATTGATATTTAGAATGGCAGAAATTCAGATTATCCTTATGAGTCAAGTTAGAAATTAATGTGGAATTATTAAGAACATAAATATATAATGTATATATTTTCATATTTTTACAATATGTAAATGTGACAAAATGGCCTTTAACACCTCACTGAAACATGTGGAATATCGTGTGTGTGTGTGGCTCATACTCTCACTATTTGCTTACCATCTCCCTTCCCAGAACAATTTACAGTGACTGGCTTACGGGGGCCAATCTTGGCTCCTTTGCGTGGAATAGTTGAACTCAGTTGCCAGCTGTCCCCTCCCCAAAATGCAGAACACATGGAGATACGCTGGTTCCGGGATCACTATACACAACCTGTTCACCTATACAACAATGGCAAAGACCTGCATGTAGAAACTATCTCCAGGTATGTGGAGCGGACAGAGCTCCTGAAAGAAGCTATCAGAGAGGGTAAAGTCACCCTCAGGATCCTCAATGTCAGTGTTGATGACGATGGGCAGTACCACTGCTTCTTCAAAGATGGTGCTTTCGATGAAGAAGCCATCACAGAAGTGAAGGTCACAGGTAGGGATGGATCTCTTTGAGGTTTCTACACATCTGATTCTTAACCCATCTGAGGCTGAATAGTCGGAAAATTCTCAGTGTTTGTGACTATTGCATGGTTCGGTTAGCAAGTTCAAATTCATGCATTTAGTCTTGGAGCTGAGAATAGTATAGGATTAAGAATGCAAATTATGCCTACACACATTACCATTTTCAGAACTGTTTTCCCATGTCCATATACACTGTTAGATCTGTAAAGAATCAACAGATTCCTTTTAGGATTTATTACTATGCTTTTAATTATTTCTGACAAAACTTTAGTGAAACCTGACTTTGTAAACTACCTAAATCTTTACAATAGTCTCCTTACTGACAGTTTTTATTTCCATTTCTCCCTGACTCAGTTCACTGACTACTT